AACCTGACGAACGTGAGTTCTGTGAACTTCAACGTCCGTCTTCCCGTCCATAGCCCGGCTATGGACGAACACATCGTCGAAGTAACTCGGTGCGAAGTCTCGCACCGGTCTCAACAGATTTGTGACACATCTGTTGAATGTTGCAGGGGCATTACTCAGCCCCTGTGGCATCACTAGCCACTCCCACAGCATCCCGCTGGGGGTACTCACTGCCGTGAACGGGACGTCCCGTTCACGCATCAGGATCTGATAGAATCCGTCCATCAGATCCATGGACGAAAAGATGGTACTCTTTGACATACCATCTATGATTACGTCCTTTCTCGGTATCGGCGTCTGAGCCGGTACCGTTGCAGCATTCAACTTGTTGAATGCGTGCACTATCCGCCACCCTCCTGTGGCCTTTCGCACACAGAAGGTCGGAGAGCTGTGAGGGGATGTTGATTCCCTCACATAGCCCGCTGCTAAGCGATCGGCAAAGAACTTGTCGATCGCTAGTACTTGTTCACGAGGCAGTGGCCACTGCTTCATGACACAGTACTTCGAGCCCGGTTTGAGCTCGATCTCGTGTCGAGTGCCTTTGTCCTTAGGCAACTCGCATGACATAGATTCAGGGAACACATCCCTGAATTCGATCAAATCCCCATACAAAGGGTTTGCCTGAAACGACTTCCAGGATTGAGATCCATATCTCTCAATAAGAGTCTTCTTATCGAGGACACTTTCGTCCATCGATGAGCTGCTGAGAACCCGTTCGATCTCAGCAAGCACTGTTGCCTACCATATATGGGGCACATACTCATCCTTTATGACGAAATGCAGATCTGCTTGACTTTGCCACTACGCAGATCACGCAAGAACCGTTTCGGTTCTAGCGTTGGCATTAAAGATATCTTCGAAGTCAACTTCGGACGCACAATCAGATCAAGTGTTTAAGCGCCTTCACTTGATCCGTCATTGACCAAGACGTTCAACGTCTCGGTTTCTTCCTGGGAACTTGTTTACACAGGTTGCTGAATGCCTAATCCCTCAGCACGAGACTCTCGAGGAATTCCTTTCTCAAGCACGTGGGGACTTATTCCCTCGACGTCTTCCGACTGTGGCTGTGCAACCACAGTCAGGAACCGATCCTCTACGGTCGATTCTCCAGTCGGCCTAGGATTTTCATGTTGCCCTTGGAGGCAACAGGTTTCTTTCTTCTAAGATGCTGCCCGCTAGGCATGCATCCATCTCCCGATCCAGTCGACTTATTCGAGTGGTGGACCTTCGGCGCAGCCTGTACATCTGTACAGCCGCCGGGAGCTTGCTCCACAGTGTAGTGATCAACTACACTGTGATCTTGTGCAGTCGTGCTAACGACCGTACCGCAAGGGAGGCCATCGCACTCACTCGCAGAACATCCAAACGCTTGTGGACGCTCCAAGATGTTCATCAGATGGCCATCTGATGAAAAAGCGGCATGCATCTTCACGTATCGATGCTGCCAGCTCACCCTTGGCTCGTACTTTCTGAGCCAAGGTAATCCCAGGATGACATCAAATTTGTCATCCAGATCTAGTACGATGAAATCATCATCGTACTGTTCGCCCTCTAACGTGTAGTAGATTCCTCCTACACGTTTCTCAACGGTAATCGATGCGCCTGTTGCAAGGCGCACCGTCATCCTTGTGAGGGGAATGTTGCGCTCAACGAACTTGAGCCTACGACCCTCTAGTGACTGGCGACGAACAAAGTTGCTCGACGCCCCACAGTCTACTAGGGCACGAAGCGACAAATTATTTGTCGCTTCCAGCTTCAAGGTGATGAGCGAAACGTCATCACCAGGTGCAGAGACACACAATGATTGTGTATCTGGAGCAACTTTCGTCAAGAGATTTGCAAATTATCTTGAGGTTGCTGGATCAGTAGGGCGCTCCGCCCCTACTGACCCCGACCATTTTTTGATGTTCCGTCTCGCTGTTGCGGCTTCGCAACAGCGCTGGACCCACGCCCATTGCCCTTTCTGGCAAAAGGTCGTCCATTTCGCTCAGTACTGTTTGGTACTGGGCGTGGAGCACTACACTCGTATGCGTAGTGCCCTAACTTCTGGCAGCGATTGCACCTCTGCAATCGCTTGTTGTTTGAAGATCGGGGTCTCTCGCTCTCAACATAGCAGAGGTCCATTGGTTCTGGACCTCCGATCTCTTGTCGTCTCGGTGGACGGTAAGAGTTTGAGCTAGCATGAGCCTGTCTCATGCTAAAGTATTCCTGTTCCGCGGCTGATATCGCTTCTTCAAGCGTATTCAGCTCAAGGCGGAACAGATGGCTCCTGACGGGCCCTTCTGCGAGCCCTTGCATGAACACCGTAATCAACGTGTGTTCATGGATTGGGTTAGCAGTTATACTACTCGCAAGTAGTCGTATATGTTGTGCGTAAGCGTGCACATCACGCTTACCCTGCTTGAGTTTCAGGAGCTCTGAACGAGCCCTGAACTCAGCCCGTGGCGGCTCAACCGTTCGTCTGAGCCGGGACTTAAAGTCATCTAGCGACCTAAACACGTTTGGGTCGCTACTCTCGAGTGCCAGGGACCAAGTTTTGGCCCGCCCTACCTGTGGGTATGAGCAAATGTGAGTCTCATTTGCTCATCTTCGACGCGACGAGCCCTTAGGGCTCTGTCGAGTTCGACAAACCATAGTAACAGGGAGTCCTCCGGGACTCCACTGTACTTGAATATATCAATCGTCAAGATTTCGGGACGACACGTGCGTGTCGTCCCGCCCACAGCAGCATGGAATTGCTGCTGTCTCAACAGCTCCGTCTATTGAGCACCGAGTTCTCTCAACTGCTCGGCCTGTTGAGAGCCTTGCTGGTGAAGCAAGGCTACTTTCTCCCTCTCGAGAGCAAGTTCATTCTGAATGAACTTGGCGATAGCAGCATGTTGTTGGTCTCTGTCTAGAGACTCCAACATGGTGCTGACGACGAGTTCGCCTACGGTAGAACTCATTCGTTCTACCGCACCCCATTCGATGTCACTCAAATGGGTAAACCCTTCACGCGTGGCGTGAAAGGTGTCTTCTTCATCCAACATGTTCATGTTGGATGATGTGGTCCTTGGAAGGACTACAAAGTGCTACCAGGTGTAACGGGGCACACCCTTGCGTAACTTAACGCAAGGGATTAGGGTGCCCCGACGGACGTACACGTGGCAAGCGAGGAAGCGTAGGTAGGGTAAAAGTAGAAATGCTATATTAATATAATTAAGTCTTAAATCCACTGTCTCTCTGTTTGACTTAACTTAATTATGCTAATATAACTGAGTGTATGGTGACGTCTCGTCACCACTCATTCCGCGCGTCTTGCGGCGATTGGTGGGTTGATATCATCAAGATATCAACCAATGAACAGAACCCTTTGGTCGACCCTTCAATATCACCACTTTGGTGATATTGTTTAAAGAATATCCATCGTTATATTCTTTATTGTCAATTTCCTTTAAGTGACAATTTTATGTAACGGGCTGCCCCGTTACAACGGCGGTGTACCGGATAATGAGAGCGGATTTCATACGGAAGGCTGTGTGCTGCCACAAAAGAGGCTTGTATTACAGAGGTGTGTGTACAAAGCAAAGAATATGTATATTGCTTTTTGTATGCATAAGTGTGCGGTGCCTAGTTAGGAAGGTTACGGTTCTTAAGAAGGGGTCTCTATTTCAGGTGGGTGTGTACGTATGAAAAGGTGGGTGTGTACCAATAAATCTCCTATTTATATGGTATTTTGTATGTAACGGTGTGCAGTCCCAATTATAGAGGCTTCGGTACTTATAAAGGGGTCTATATTTCAGAGGGGGTACGAATAAAAAAGTGGGTGTTTACCTATAGATCTGCTTCCCCATTGGAGCTTACAGGCAATATTTCCAACGGTTCCATTGATTCTTAGCGGCAAAGGCATGTCATGTATCTTCATTTATTTCTTTTGGGAAGTATCTTTTTCCTGTCAGGCTGATACGGCTAACGAGGTGGGATGTTATCATCTGAAGCGCCAAAAAACGAATGAAAGATAAACATTTGTAATACTGGTGTTTATTGAAGTGAGCCCCTTACATTAATTTGAAACGTATGTGCCAATTTTTGTAATTTATTCTTATGGATGGTAGTTAATCAATATCACCAGAGAAGAGGTAATGGCAGCTGAATTATACCCCCGAGGATAATATTCTTGAATGCTCCACTTACTGGTTGGTTTACCGTGCAGTACAGCAAAATTAACCACCAATTGCTGTTGGACGCGCGCAATGGGTGGTGAGCAAGAAACTCACATAGGAGATTTTAGGTTAATATAGTTAGATAAAGACGAAGATGGTTTAGTAAAGAAACTAACTATATTAAGTACAGTTCTACCTTTCCCCTTAAACAGAGCTTTCGATTTCTGTTTACTTCCTCCCGCTTCCTGACGCCACATGTACGTCACGTCGAGAGTATGCAGCCCTGGGTTCAATTAACAAAAGGTCTTACCAGTCATCTCGTAAGAGTGTGCCCCGTTACATAGTGGGTCAATGCTGCCTAGTTAGCTGACATATGCTGGCGGATTGGTAAGCATCGACATTACCTACTATAACGGGGTAGATGTGTGTGGATGATGGGAGTGATCAATTGCAACTTGTATACTGACCTGATGCACTTGCCTCTGTCAGCTAAACAGATCAACGAATGAGATGGTTTCGCCATGCCAACAAGAAGTGTTTCGTATGTTGTATAGATATGATATATTGACAAACGACAATTATATAGGTCCAACATTCATCAATGTCCGGACCACTATTGTTGACGTCCGGACCCGTTGCCTAATTGCTTGACACCATTCGGCTCGTAAGCTCTTCGTAAATTTCCTGTTTTTCGGTTTCGCTTGGCCAGCCAAAAAGGTGATTCTCTGCTTCGGCCCATTTATTCCCCTCCGGAGCAGGATCCATCAAAGTGCGAAAAGCTTCATGCTCGACAGCATAATCTGGATGCTTCGAACGCAGTCAGTCCCAACAGGCTTTCATAACGCTCTCGTCTGCGGTTTCTTTCTTTTCCGCTCGCACAAGAGCGACGAAGAATCGAACGTATTCTCCCTCGAAATGATCCAAAAGAACTTCTGCCACGTGTTTGTGCACTGTGTCAGCCCCTGTCAGGAGTTTAGCGATCCCGTAGTCGAAGAGGTCTTTGTCGCTTGATGGCTTGTCTCGCTCTAGCCACTGAAGAACCTCATTCGTCGTGCGCCCTTCTGCATTCCAGCATGCAATCATTGCGTCTTTCACTGCTTCCAAAGGGGCTCCTATTTTGGCCTTCTTCTTGATGCTTGCACGTACGAGCGCCTGGGCCATCACGTCATCCCCATACGTATCCGCTAGAGCACTACCCAATGCCTCTTCAGGTGTCGCTCCTTTATTTGCTACTCGATACCAGTCAAGTAAGCCCTCAACTTTTACTTCGGTCAGCTCTATCAACAAGCGTTCGACAGCTGCGAATTTATCTTCGGCCATTTTCTGCTGTGCAAAGGACCCGACCAGCGTCTCGATGTCGAGAAATTGCCTGATATTCAACACCCTCTCTTCACGATTGCCGACTTCACCGGCTTTCATCGTGCCGTTGACCAGGACGCCATCGCGAAGCTCGGCAATTTCAGTCAAGTGAGCCAGAGGTGTGATCGGGTTGGACATTACCGAGACACTAGTGGTCGTGACGGCGCGAGCGACAGCAGGCAGGAGGATGAAGTAGCAGACGCGCATGCTAGCTGTTGTTTGATCTGGATGTGGCAGTGACTTGGTGAATATCGGAATGACGAAAACCCAGCCATGTGAAACTGTACAAATCCGTCCAGAGCAACTGGTTCGCACAGCACAAAATCGCATGCTGCCGGCTTTTTGTGCGTCGGTACCAGACTGCTGTCGACGCGTCCACGATGCCAGCGCCTATCCCATGACGCACTTCTGGTATCCCAACACCTGATCGGTATAGTTGCTGGGTCGAATTTTTGATTGGCACTGGCTGGAGTAAGTTGCCTGTCGCGTAGCGCGTGCTTTTTATGTCGAATCTCAAAATGCGGATCAAAGTGATCGTAAAAGCTGAACGTCGATTTGGTGCTTAGCCTAATTTGATATCGGTGTGCATCTACTTGGACTACCTCCAACTCCTCCTTGCTGGCTCAGTCTGCTGTCTCGATCCTTTGAGCATCACCGGGACACTCCGCAGAGGGCACGTGAAATTGAGAATCCAGTTCGGGGTGCAGACAAGGCGCTAAAGTCGCGGAAATGCCGGGTACCACTCCGGTCATCCCCGATGGCCGCAGACGCACCGGGACGGGGCCGATAAATCACGTTCCAGGCGAGTTCGCTCCGTGGAACCGTATATCAGCGCGGCGACCGGTCCGGCAACTTAAGGGCAGACGTCCTCTCTACAACCTGAGCCCCACCAAAAGAACTTTCCACATAGCGAAAGGGAATCATTTGTCCGGCTCTTCGAAGGTTCGCCGCTAGCCCATTGGACCCCCGAAGGCGCAAATTGGAAAGCACAGTTGATCCCCTCCTAGCTAGTCCTCTATTAGCTAATAACCCCTTGTAGTTATTAAACGTTTTCGGCCCGACGTTGGGCAAGAGAGGTAGATAACGTGACTAGCCAACCCCTCCTACCCAACATCCTTTACAACCTCTAATTTTCTCACCTGACCAACTGTATTAGCTAAAAATATGGATCTACTGTAGTGTGCGGATCATCGATGTCATGCAGGAGCGACAAAAAAGTTGTAGACTTGGATTTTAATGTCGCGTACATGATCGCTTTGTGTTTTGTGAGCAAAGGCGGCGCTGACAATCGGAAGCAACATTGACGACTGTAACGTCGCAGTCTTGCGCTTGTAAGGTCACCAAAGCCAGCCACAAGGAGCGAACTCATTCATTTGTGTGTCTCCATTTTTCGTATCGACACCCAATCGCACGAGAGAGGGCTAGGGACGATCGATGTCCATGTCCGCCGCACAGACTATTACAGACAGACCACTCGCGGTTGCATGTGCTCGACACAAAGCCTGACAACACGTTCGACGACGGTACTTCGATTTTGCAATGCGCTTTACTGGTTCGACGCGTTGATGCATGTAAAGTGAAGATCACTACAGCTGACGCTTCTGTGTGCGCGTACGATTCGCATATACGACTTCGAGCAGCCAGCTGCAGTTCAGCTTATGCGGCGCTCTGTAGCTATGAAGGCGTCCTATCGCAGGCACGCGACCAGCTTGAACTTAGACCGTGTTGACGCCCCAACACAGCTCAAGATAGATCGTGGACCTTTCACGATTTGTCGCGAGGCCACAAAACAGAAATGTCTCTGGTCTTCCACGTACTTGTTTTGATGACGCGAAAAGACGACGACTGGGCGAGGTGCGTATTGTAAGCAAGTCGTTGCCCACTGAAGTGCGCGTCACGAGAGACACGTCAGTGGTTGTCCGCATCGATATGTCCGCATACAGCGGCTGGGCAGCCGAAGTTTGTCCGCAATCATGACGACAAGTTTTGGCTCTGCCTGTCGGACCAAAAACGATGGGCAAAAGCCGGACTTACTGCACACGTGTCTCTGCCGATCAACTTTCAACCTGAGGACTTGACAAGATAAACGTATTTGAATCACTTCTCGTAATGGAGTACGCCATAAAGCCGCTACAACGGGAAACGTCCTTTCGTACGTCCTCTCCTCGTCAACGTCGCCCCTCTATCCGAGCGGCAGCTCGATCAAATAACGCGCGGGACCGCTTAGCAGCTGCGGACATCTCTGTTGTGCTTATGGTAGTAACACCTTACCCACGAGTGACAGCTCTCCCGCCATGACGGGGTCTTTGCCCTCACCCTCCTTCGACATAGTCACCAACACGTCCGTCAAGTTGACGATCGTCACGGCCTTTTCGCCGTGCTTGCTTGTTCATGGCTGGAGAAAGCAATGCCGTCACCATGGCGCAGTCAGAAGGCGCTTCACCTTTAGGCGTAGCTCCATCCGGGACATGTAAACGCACTTCATTCGCTTCGATAACTTTATGTCAGGGCTAGAAGTGTGCAACTTACTGCGGGCAAATGCGTGTGCAATCTTGGTACTCTCCTCCATCACTGACCCCACCTCGCTCGAATTGAGACGACATGAGCGGTGCCCATAGCTGTCCAAGCAAATACCATTGCAATACCCAGAAACTGTTGGTCAAAGATGCGGCCACAAAGAATCCTGAACCCAAGATGGGGCAGTCAAGACATCAACGTGCAAGCTCCGTAGTAAGAAACATCACTCACAATGTGCAGGCACGTTCGCCAACGTAGTTTGGCAGCTTCTCAGGCGTGACGAGAAACCAGTCAGTCTCGTTTAACACTTCCTTTGCGGCATTCGTACCGCAGTCGATGGTCGTTGAAAATTCAGAAAGTGCTCAGGCTGCTGACACCCAAGAGGCTGGCAGTCGATTTGCCGGCCTCCTGTATGTCAGCAGCCTGAGCACTCTCTGCATCTTCAACGACCTCAACAGCAAGCTTGCAAGATACCTTTCCACGTGCTTCTCGAAATGCGGACACCACTCTCGCGACAGCACTGCTTCACTAGTGCCAACATCGCTTCGCCTGCCAGACCCAGAGATTCTGGCGCTGTTTCCGACTGCTCCAGGTCTGTTTTCTCGCGGGCTTCGGCACAAGATGTCATCTTGTTGCCACCAGCTTTCCTGGCAAGCCATATAGACCGATAGACGCAAGACCTACATTCGATCCAGCAAATGCTGCATCGATCATGTCGGGTGCATTTGCTCTGGAAATGAAACGAACGGGAGGCAGATCAACAGGCGCATCCCTTTAGTGGTAGACAAAGCCGTTGTTTTGAGATGGATTTAATAGCTCCAATAAAAACAGCTGGTGGCCGATCACCTTGATACCCATCTCTAAGCCAGCCAATGTCGTCAATCATGATCAGCGGATTCGAGCTTCGGGCATACCTTAAGCGCTAAATAACTTCCCAAGCATATCATCAACGTACCAGCAACGGCGATCTCGGTATCGTCACTTAGACCACCGACTGAGGAATAACACACATGCTGTAACGCGGCACGCTCTTGCTCAGATAACTGAGCAAGGCCTTGTATTGATAACAATGCAAGGGTGCGTACGCCCGATGTCACGTACACGTGGCCTAAGGAAGCGCTACCAAGACAATACAGGACCCAAAAGTTCTGTCTAGAGGGGAAAGTAGAACTGTACAAAATATAGTTAGTTTATTTACGAAACCATCTTTTGTCTTAATCTAACTATATTAAAATACTGTCTCCTACGTGGGTCTTCAGTTCACCACCCATTGCGCCCATTCAGCGGCGATTGGTGTTTAACGTGATTTATCTACACGGTGCATAAACCAAGAAGTAGACCCCTCCACGGATATCATACCCTAATAGGTAATATTCCGACAACATCGCTTTTCTCGACTGATGACGATTGAATATATTCAAAATCGATGATATTCAGAAATTGGTACTATCGTACCAATTTTTTTGTAACGGGCTCACCCCGTTACATAATCCCTCCCTTAACTATCAGTCAATATAGTAAATGATTGATTTGTTGGTGACAGAGAGACCACGTCGTGTCGCTTTGGGGACGGGGAGCACTTTTTGGTCTTCCCCCTTCTCATTTCGATTTTTTAGAGAGCATGACGAGTCGATAAATGCGCTCCGCGAGCAAGGATGAGTAGCGCATTTATCGACTCGTCATGCTCTATGGGAAGCGGCTACACGAGTGCATGAAGTCGGGGAAGGGCAAGACACTCAAGCCTCGGCAGCAGGCGATATTTTTCCCTTTGCTGCTAATAACCAGCCTGCAACCACTATAGTTGCAGGTGCACGTGGTCCTCCAATTGCAGCTTCTTCACCCGCAGCTTCGGCCGAGGGTGGATGTCCCATGGACGCTGACCCCGAATCGGAGGTGCTCTATTCGAATGAGTCGAATTCCCCTTCGAATCCAAGTTGTCCGCAAAGCCCGACCGTACGGTTGCGAAAACGAATACTGCTGCGCCTCGCGGTAGTCTCAATCCTGAATTGCGGCATGAGATGTTTGGTCCATCCGACGATTCCGGGAACATGTCTCCGAAAACGAACTAATCGCGCTCGTATCCATACGAGGCGAGTGGGCAACATGCGGACGTACGTCCACATGACGATGTCGATGACTCTTCGCGGAGTCATCGTATCCATAGCCGCAGTAATGCGAGATATTTTGGCGATCGTGGCGCCAGTGATTAAGTTGGCACCACGAAAGAGGAGCAGGATCGTGAAGCTTTGCGATCAGCTCCTGACAACAAGCCATGGATCCTTCCGTGGGCGATCTGAGAGGGTGGTATGAGTATACCACTGGGAGTTGTTAAATCGCACTCTCAAACTCGTCAAAGATGCATGGCCTTGACCCCAGTGCGAACCCATATCGCACTGAGCATGACATCTACATCGATGTCATCTCTAGGAATCGATCGTACCACTGCAACCGAAAGCGAGACGAGCTTCATTGAGTACAGGCGTGGAATGTTCTTAACGGCAACATTGAGAATGTTGGCCGCAAGGGTTTGGCTAGACAAACTAGATGTTGCTTGCAACAGGTTTGAGCTGAATTCTCATACCGGTGCTTGTTACCGATTGCACCGATCGTCTCGAGAAGAAGGATAATCTTGCCTCTCATGGGGAGAAAAATGTCTGAGTTGTGTTGACAACTCAGTTTGCGCCCCAAGG